AGGAGCTGGTCATGGACTTCAGAAAGCAGAGTGAAGGGCACACCCTGCCTGCATCACCGGTGCTGAGGTGGAGGTGGTTGAGACCATCAAGTTCCTGGAGTGATGATCACCTACAATCTGTCCTGGTCAACCCACATTGATGCTACAGCCAAGAAAACACAGCAATGCCTCTAGATTCTCAGGAGGCTAAGGAAATTTGACATAGCCATAAAGACAAATTTTTTTATAGATGCACCACCAAAAGCATCCTATCTGGGTACATCACAATGTGGTATGACAACTGCTCTTCCTAAGGCCAAAATAAACTACAGAGAGTTGTGAACACAGCCCAGGCTATCGTGAAAACCAGCCTCCTACCCACTGACTTCATCTAGACTTCCGCTTGCATCAGGAAAGCAACCAACATAATCAAAGACCCCTCCCACCTCAGTTATACTGTCTTCCACCCTCTTCCATCAGGTAGAAGATACAAAAGTTTGAATACACATGCAAACAGATTCAAGAACAGTTTCTTCCCCATTGTTATTGGTCCTCTCAAAGGATAATGTTGATCTCCATCTCTGTAATTTCTCTGCAGCTCTAACACTATATTCTGCACTCTGTTCTGCTACTCTGTTGCACTTTGTATGGTATGATCAGGTCATGTAGAGCATGCAAAACAACACTTTTCGCTGTCTCCTGGTACAAAGACATAAGACCATAAGACACAGGAGCAGAAATTAGGCCATTCGGCCCATCGGGTCTGCTCCACCATTCAATCATGGATGGTAAGTTTTTCAACCCCATTCTTTCACTTTCTCCCTGTAATCTTTGATCCCCTTCACAATCAAGAACCTAAATATCTCTATCTTAAATATACTCAATAATGACCTGACCTCCACAGCCTTCTGTGTAGGTCATAGATTCACCATTCTCTGTCTGAAGAAGTTTCTCCTTATCTCCATTCTAAAAGGTCTTCTCTTTACTCTGAGGCTATGCCCTCAGGCCCTAGTGTTTCCTACTAATGGAAACATCTTCCCAACATCCAGTCTGTCCAAGCCAAGTACTTCTGTCCAAGTATTCTATAAGTTTCAGATAGATCCCTCCTCATCCTTCTAAACTCCATCAAGTATAGACCCAGAATCCTCAAATGTTCCTCTTATGTTAAGCTTTTCATTCCTGGGATCATTCTCGTGAACCTCCTCTGAACCTTCAGGCCCAATACATTCTTTCTGAGGTATAGGGCCCAAAATTGCTCACAATAATCTAAATGTGGTCTGACCAGAGCCTTATAAAGCCTCAGAAGTATATCCCTGCTTTTATATACTAGTCCTTTTGAAATAAATGACAACATTGTATTTGCCTTCCCAACTACTAACTCAACCTACAAGCTTTCCTTAAGAGAAAGTCCCATTGCACTTCAGATTTCTGAATTTTCTTCCCATTTAGAAAATAGTCTGTTTCTGTATTCTTCCTACCAAAGTGCATGACCTCACAGTTTCCCACATTGTACTCCCATCTGCCACTTCTTTGCCCACTCTCCTAACCTGTCTAAATCCTTCTGCAGCCTCCTCACCTCCTCAATACTACCTGTCCCTCCACCTATCTTTGTATCATCTGCAAACATAGCCAGACTGCCCTCAGTCCCTTCATCTAGATCATTAATGTATAAAGTGAAAAGTTGTGATCCCAACACTGACCCTTGCAGAACTCCACTAGTCATCGTCTGCCATTCTGAGAAAGACCCCTTTATCCCCACTCTCTGCTTTCTGCCAGACAGCCAATCTATCCATGCTAGCACCTTGCCTCTAACACCATGGGCCCTTATCTTACTCAGCAGCCTCCTGTGTAGCACATTGTCAAAGGCCTTCTGGAAGTCCAGATAGATAACATCCATTGGCTCTCCTTGGTCTAACCTGCTCGTTACCTCCTCAAAAGATTCTAACAGATTTATCAGCTATGACCTCCCCTTGATGAAACCATGCTGACTTTGCCCTAGTTTACCATGCACTTCCAAGTATTCAGAAATCTCATCCTTCACAATGGACTCCAAGATCTCACCAATGACCAAGGTCAGGCTAATCGGCCTGTAATTTCCTGTCTTCTGCCTTACTCCCTTCTTAAACATGGGAGTTACATTAGCGATTTTCCAGTCCTCTGGGACCCTCTCTGACTCCACTGATTCCTGGAAGATCACCCTTAATGCCTCCACTATCTCTTCAGCTATCGCCTTCAGAACTCTAGGTGTAGTCCGTCTGGTCCAGGTGATTTAACCACCTTCAGACCATTCAGTTTTTCTAGCACCTTCTCCTTAGTGATGGCCACCATACTAACCTCTGTTCCCCCCCAACCCCCCACCCCCCAACTATGATTCTCTTGAATTTTTAGGATGTTACTCGTGTCTTCCACCATGAAGACTGATACAAAGTACTTGTTCAGTTCCTCTGCCATTTCTTTGATCCCCATTACTACTTCTCCAGCGCAATTTTCCAGCGGCCCACTGTCCACTTTTGCCTCTCTTTTGCCCTTTATAAATCTAAAGAAACTCCTGCAATCTTCTTTTATATTACTGGCTAGCTTACCCTCATAATTAATCTTCTCCATCCTTATTTCTTTTTTGTTGCCCTCTGTTGGTCTTTGTAAGCTTCCCAATCCTCTGGTTTCCCACCGCCCTTTGCTGCATTAAATGCTTTCTCTTTTTCTTTTATGCTGTCATTGACTTTCCTTGTCAGCCATGGTTGCCTCATCCTCCCTGTTACATGTTCCTTTTTCCTAGAGATGAATTTTTGCTACATCTGCCGAATTACTCCCAGAAACTCCTGTCATTGCTGTTCCACTGTCTTTCCTGCTAGGGTCCTCTCCCAGTCAATTCTGCCCAGCTCCTCCCTCATGCCTCTATAGTTGCCTTTATTCAGCTGTAATACCATTACCTCTGATTCTATCTTCTCCCTCTCAAATTGCAGAGTAAATTCAATCATCTTATGGTCACTGCCTCCTAAAGGTTCCTTTACCTTAAGCTCCCTTATCAAGTCTGCCTCATTGCACAACACTAAATCCAGTATTGCCTGTTCCCTAGTGGCTCTATCACAAGCTGCTCCAAAAAGCCATCTTGTAGACATTCTACAAATTCCTTTTTCTTGCAATCCACAACCAACCTGATTTTCCCAGTCCACCTGCATATTGAAATCCCCCATGATCACTGTAACCTTGCCTTTCTGACACACCTTTTCTATCTTCTGGTGTATCTTGTGCCCCAGCTCCTGACTACAGTTTGGAGGCCTGTACATAACTCCCATTATGGCTTTTTTACTTTTGCGGTTCCTCAACTCTACCCACACAGATTCTACACCATCTGACCCTACTTCGTTTCTTGCTATTGATTTAATTTCATTTTTACTAATAAGGCAACCCCACCCCCTATGCCCATTTGCCTACCTTTTTGAAAGGATGTATATCCTTGGATAGCCAGTTCCCAATCCTGATCCCCTTGCAGCCATGTCTCTGTGATGCCCACCACATCATACTTGCCAATTTCAATCTGCGCCACAAGCTCATTTACCTTATTTCGTATACTGCGTGCATTCAGATATAACACCTTCAGTCCTGCATTTACCGTCCCTTTTCTCATTGTCATCACTTTATCAAGTCTGCTTGAAGTTTGATTCCTAATCCTTTCCAAACATCTGTCCTATTACGAGTTCTGGAGGCTTTAATAACCTCTCCTGACTTATCCTTTCTTTTCATTATTTCATACTCTTCCACACAGTTGAATCCACCCCTACAGATGTTAACCTGCTGCTTTGTTTCCCATTGGCCATTATACTTCTTGGAGTTTTACCCTTCCTTTCCCTCCCCACCTCCCCTACTTTCTCGTTTAAAGTCCTGTTAACTACCCTCTTTACCCTTTTCCCTAGAACATCGATCCCAGCTCGGTTCACGTGGAGACCGTCCCAATTGTACAGATCCCTCCTGTTCCAAGACAGATGCCAGTGCCCCATGAGATGGAACCCCTCTTTCCCGTACCACTCTTTTAGCCACGCGTTTACTTCCCTTATTCCCGAATCCCTATGCCAATTTGCACGTGGCTTGGGTAGTAATCCAGAAATTGTAGCCCTGTTCTTTAATTTAGTTCCTAGTTCCTAATAATCCCTAAACAGGTCCTCTTTCCTAGTCTTGCCTATGTTGTGACAACAATCAATCAAATCGAATTGAAACACATCATAAACACATAGTAAACACACTGCAAATACACTGCATAAGTAATGTAAAAATACCACAGACACACCAGAAACACAACTCCAATGTCCCAAAGACTCATCACAAACAAACCCAAAGTATGTCGTAAACACAATGCAAACAATTAAAAAGACACTTTGCTAGCACATCAAACCTTGATGTAAACACTCTGTACAAACATCTGAAACACACCTCAAACTCTTAACTGTGTCTCAGCTGGTAGCTCTTCATCTGCAGCTGAAGAATTCCATGTCTTACTCTTTGTCTCTTTCTTTCTGTCTATCTCTCCCACCCTTCATCTCTCTCTCTCTCACTTTCTTCCTCTGTCTCCCTCACTCTCCCTTTCCCTCACTCCCTCTCTCCCTTTGTGTCTCTATGTATCTCTCACTCTTTGTCTCTGTCAGATATGCACCACCAAACGCGCCATGATTCAGCAATATGAGTTTTCTGTCTCTCTGACTGTCTCCCCCTTTCCATCCTTTGTTCTCTGTTGTTCAGGGCCTTCATTCTCTCTCTTTTGCTCTCTCTCTATGTATATATCTCTCTTTCTCTCTCTCTCCATTTCTGTCTCTGTCTTTCTCTGTTTCTTTCCAACTATCTCTTTCCTTCACATTTTCTCTCTGTCTATCTCTGCCTCACTCTTCCTCCGTCCCTCGCTGAATCTCTGTCTCTGCTGTCTGTCTGTCTTCCCGTCCCTCACTGATTCCCTTTTGTCTCTCTGTCTTGTTTCCTCTCCCAGATCACTCCTAAATGAGAGCTCTACATCTCTCTCAGGTCTAGGAGTGATGACATGGTCACCATTGGCATGTGGCTTAATCACTGGAAAATATGAAGACAGCATTCCGGAAAATTCCAGGGCCTCGTTGCCGGTAAGATTCAGCTATAAACAATTTTTATCTGAAATTAAAAATTTGCAGGTTAGACTTAAAATTCAACCCTCGGTTAACCATCAGCATCAGGAGAAACTGGGTGACAACAGAGTAAAGCTCCCTCTACACTATCCTCATCAAACACTCCCGGGACAGGGATAGCACGGGGTTAGATACAGAGTAAAGCTCTCTCTACATTGTCCCCCCAATCAAACACTCCCGGGACAGGGACAGCACGGGGTTAGATACAGACTAAAGCTCCCTCTACACTATCCCCATCAAACACTCCCGGGACAGGGACAGCACGGGGTTAGATACAGAGTAAAGCTTCCTCTACACTATCCCCATCAAACACTCCCAGGACAGGGACGGCACGGGGTTAGATACAGAGTAAAGCTCTCTCTACATTGTCCCCCCCATCAAACACTCCCGGGACAGGGACAGCACGGGGTTAGATGCAGAGTAAAGCTCCCTCTACGCTATCCCCATCAAACACTCCCAGGACAGGGACAGCACGGGGTTAGATACAAAGTAAAGTTTTCTCTACACTGTCCCCCCCATCAAATGCTCCCGGGACAGAGACAGCACGGGGTTAGATACAGAGTCAGGGTCCAGCCTCAAGGATCTACACTCACTGGACCTGTTCTCTTTGGTTCTTTGCCCGATGACCATTCTCTGTGTTTCCTGTATGTTCAAACTGGGGACTGCAGAGCGAGCCTGACATCAATTTCACCTCTGACCCATCCTGACAACTTGACTCCTCCAGGGAGTAGCCGTCCCCAACTGATGTTTCACCTCCTCCATTTCCCCTGGCATTCCCTTGCTCCATTTCTGACCAAATATAACCTTATGTTGGCCTACAGGGCTACGAGTGGCTGAAGGCGAGAATAACGAGTGAGGAAGGCCAGCTACAGCAAGCCAAGACGAAGGCATTGCAGCCTATTACCGACAGGATCTCCTGCACCGTAGCTCAGTTGGCAATTGGTGAGCCTGCACTCTGTGGGGAAGCTTGGGGTGTTGAAAAGACAGGATGGGTCATAGGTCAACAAGGTCTAAGGGGAGAAGGGAGAATTTTCTCTTTGCAAATGTCGAAATAATAAGCCAAGCCTTGGCCAGCAGTTGCCATGAGCTTGAAAGCACCTGGTAATGGACAAAACTTTAGGCCTGCACCCTCTGATTTGAAGTCGTCGTGGGCTCCCATTGATGCAAAGGGAACACCTTTATCACATGACCACTCGGGCGACTGCCGCTCTTTCCATACTGGGCAAAAATAAGGGTTGCCAACTCTGATTGGCTGTATTCTTGAAGATTTTTTTGGGGCAGCACAGTGGCTCCGTGGTTAGCACTGCTGCCTCACAGCACCAGAGTCTGGTGACTGTCTGTGTGGAGTTTGCACTTTCTCCCCGTGTCTGCGTGGGTTTCCTCCGGGTGCTCTGGTTTCCTCCCACAGTCCAAAGATGCGCAGCTTAGGTGGATTGGCCATGCTAAATTGCCCATAGCGTTCAGAGATGTGCAGGCTAGGTAGGTTAGCCATAGGAAATGCAGGGTTACAGGGATAGGGTAGCAGAAGGGATGCTGTTTGTAGGGTTGGTGTGGACGTGATGGGCTGAATGGCCTGCTTCCACACTGTAGGGATTCTATAATTTGATTTCATGATGTGTCCCATACTTCAGCCATTAGTGAGTCAACTCATTCTTCCTAATGCTGGTCTGCCCTCCTGCACCAATCAGAAAGCAAAAAGACTCATTACCCAATTTGATGACACTGGGCATTTGGCCAAACATCATTGGCTAATTTCAATCCTTTTGATTAGAGCGAGAGAAAACTGGCGGCGGCTTTAACCTTGGGCGAGGGGTAAGGTTGAGAAGGCAGGACCTTCATGGTGACCTCTGCCAGTACAGGAATTAAACCCATGCTTATGATATCATTCTGCATCACTGCCAACTATCTAGCCAACTGGACTAACCAAGTCCCTACTTAGGAGTGAATGGAAAGGGGTTTGTGTCCATTGGGATTGAGTACAATGGGAATGAATGGGAAGGGGTTTGGGCCCATTGAGATTGTACAGAATGGGGTGAATGGGAAGGGGTTTGGCTTCATTGGGATTGTATACAATGGAGTGAATGAAAAGGGGTTTATGTCCATTGGGATTGAGTACAATGGGAATGAATGGGAAGGGGTTTGGTCCCATTGAGATTGTATACAATGGAGTGAATGGGAAGGGATTTGGATCCGTTGAGATTGTGTGCAATAGGAGTAAATGGAAAGAAGTTTGTGTCTATTGGGATTGTGTATATTAGTCAGTTCTGATTGGATACACGGACCTTTCGGACTCTCTGAACAGAGGGCCTATGGATGTAGACAGAGAATTTCATTGCTCCTGAACACCAAGATATTCTGTCCTTGTGTCTCCTTGACAGCCTGGTGTCTGCGCAATGAGGCAGTTAGTTCAGTCCTGCTCGGAGTATCAGATGCTGGGCAACTGCGTGAAAACCTTGGCGCCATTCAGGTATGTCTCCCTAACATAAGACAAAATTGCCGAAAACATGACAGCGGTTTTGAGAGTTTAGGGAGATTGGGTCCAATGTCCAACAAGGCAGCAGTGAAGTCACTGTGAACAGCAACAAGGATCGGAAGCTAAAGATGAATCCAAGAGTCATTGACAATCTCTAAGATATTAAGAGGATATGATCGCACTGACCAACTGCCTCCTGTTTCTCACAAACATCAGGTGACTGTCACTTCAGAGAGCCTTCCACAGTTCTCAGCCTTGTATACATCTCCCTCTTTGGCTATGCCCTTCTCAAACTCCTCCAGCGCCTACACCCCTCCCTATCTCTGTAACTCCCTACGGCCCCTACGTCCATCCCCATCTTGGTAACCTCCTCCAGCCCCGACACCCCCTCCCCATCTCTGTAACCTCCTCCAACACCTACACCACGCCCTATCTCTGCAACCACCTCCAGCTCCTACACCCATCCCTATCTCTGTAACCCCCTCTAGTCCCTACACTCCTCCCTATCTCTGTAAGCTCCTCCAGCCCCTACACCCCCTCCCTATCTCTGTAACCTCCGCCAGCCCCTACACCCCCTCTCTATCTCTGTAACCTCCCCCAGCCTCTACACCCCTCCCTACCTCTGCAACCTCCTCCAGCCCCGATGCCCCTCTATATCTCTGCAACCTCCTCCAGCCCCTACATCCCTCTATATGTCTCCGCCTTGTCCCTCTATCTTTCTCCTCCTCTAAGGTTCTCCTTAAACCTTTTTCACTGAGATTGTGATTATATCACTCGTATGAACATCTCCTGCGGCCAAAAGGCAAATTAAGTCTCATACAGCGTCTGTGGGAAAATGTCTGATATCTTACTTTGTAAGAGAAATGCTGTTATAATTAGAAAAATCAGAAGTAGAGTGATATCTTCCATTTGAATCAGAGATAGTAGGAACTGCAGATGCTGGAGAATCCGAGACA